GCAACACAAAGAATAAGGATTTCATTAGGCCCTTGAGGCAAATACTGAACTGGAAGTTGTGTCTTTACAGGCTAGACAAAAGAACAGTGGTCACTCACATTCCCCTAACAAGATCATGACTTTCAGGCCACACCTGTACACTGAAGCAATTCTAAATGCAATGAGAGTCGGGAAGGCAGGGACAGGGAGGAAGTAGGAGATGGATGTGCACAGTGTCGGTGAAAGAGGCAGCCATGGCACTCCTCAGACTACCTCAGGGTTTCAAGGGAGCTGAAGGCCTCAAAGAAGAACTACTACCAGGGCTGGGCCTAGATCAGTTCCCCTTTCAGGAGCCAAAGTGAAAAGCATCTGAGGAGACCATAATAACTTAATAGCAAAATTGCTGTAGCATTTTATTATCGTTACAAAGACAACCAATGATACGTTCATTGAAATACACTCACTGATTCAATACACAGGGTAAAAGGGATATCTTTGGAAAAGGCACTTCAGGTTAAACGTTAGGAAATAGTACTGCTTGGTTAACACAAAATGAACTACTGCTGATTTAAACTGGCTGAGAACCCTACTTCGCTCACACCAACCAGCCTGACTGGGCAACAGGGGTCGAGACAATGGCACATTCACCCCACTCTGCAGAGTCCATGTTAATGGTGGTTCTGCTTTTAAATATTCTGTCCCCCTAAACACACTCAGCTTTCCCCGGTGATTGTTCAAAGTCCAAGGTCAGAGCTGGCAGAACTGGCTCAGGAAGCTTCTTCAAGGCCCTCTCTTTCTCAGTCAGACTGCGGCTGACACCAGTTACTGTAAATGGTATCAGCGTCACTGGCATCCTCGATGTTTGCTGCCTGTAGTTGTTTTTCCATGGCACTGGTTACAGTGGTCTGTGACTGGAGCTCCAAGTGGACCACCGTCTCTTGTGGAGTGTCCTCTTCTTGAACCTGGGCTGGATCTAACCAGAGAAGGGATGCGGTGACAGTTCAGGCCTCTGTCTTAAGAAGGCCTGGCCACTCCTGCTTTTGCACTCTTGGGAGCTCTCAGCTGCCATATAAGAAGCCCAGATGACCTGCTGGAGAGGCCCCATAGAGGAGGACAAACCCCGTGGACTACATGTAGATAATGAAAGAAACTCACCAGTCCCAGTGTCTCAGCCAACTTGCAGACCACACCAGTGCCCACCAGCCAGCCTAATAGAATCACTCAAATGAGCCCAGATCGAAGAATCATAGGTTTTTTGTTTGTTTTTTTAAAGAAGACGTTTGAAGACATAGTTTTGGGGTGGTTTGTCAGCCACAACTGATTACCAAAATTACTGGTCATCCAAGGATGCCTTTTTTTTTTCTAAACACAAGACAATTTACTCAATGCAAAGGAAATGTGGCCAATGTTTTCCTACCACAAATTTCTCAGTCAACAGGCTAAATGGTAGCTGGTCATCTGCTAAGAAGAAAACCACCTCTTACCCTAATGTATACATTTCCATGACTTTTTAAATGACAATGCAAAACTAGACAGTTGACCTCTGACAGTCTGGGGCACTGGCTTAACTATCATTCAGCCTAAAGAAAGAGACCATCAAAATGCATTATCCCCCACAGGGACACTGAGGGTAAATGAAATTGTTCCCACTTCTCTAGGATGTTGCTACTTAATTTTCCCACATCATTTCTCATTTGCAAGTGCCCAACTGTCCCCCGTAATAAGAAAAATAAAATAAAATTTGTTAACATTATCAAAAGACAAGTAACGCTGACAACTAGAATTTGAATCATAGCTGTCTGCAAAATCTAGAGAACAATTCAACCCCTTCTTGAATTTAAAACAAAATTCTATAGAACAGAACACTGTCTACACTGTAGAGATGATTTCTTCGGGTCTGAGATAATGAGTAATTGGAAATCAGGTACTGTTGAGTTAGAATACAGTGATCTTTCAATGGTTTCGAATTTTGCTTATCAAAAGGTAGTCAGTCAGCCACATCACAATGCAATCCCTTCCAAATTCAAATTCATTCTTCACATAAACTTTCTTGTATCTTTTCTTGATCTTTTTAGGGAGAGGGTGAAAGTCCATATCTGGAGAAGAAATAAGTGAGATTTTATTTATTAATGTAAAGCTAAAGCTCAGCAAAGCACTACGCTATCTTAAAGTAGATGTTAAGCTTCCAAACATACTACCCATCGAAATGGAAATCTCAACACGAGATACTGTACTGGTGTGTTTCTAACTTATCATTCAAACATCACATCCTTGGGCCACTGTTTAGTAAAGGGGACTGACTAGGAGGAGCTGTATAAGGGAGATGAATTCCCAGCAAAAGAGCTGGAAGGAGATGGAGTCGATCCAGTTGGAGGCCAGCACCCCAAGTCACACAGTCAGAGGCCAACTGGACCAAGAATGTGGGTTTCCTGACTCCCGACCCTTAGTGCCATATCTATCTAGCTGCTTCCTAGAGCCCTGAAGATCATTGCTCCACTCAGCTCAGTTGACCAGCTCTGATCAAAACTGCTCTCAGTCACCAATATCAGCCATTCCTCAGTAATAATTGCTAATGTGGCCCCTTGAGAAATTAATTTCATATACGATTTTAATGCTTAAATATATCCTAAATAAATCCAGCTTGGAAAAAGAAGTTTGAGGAGAGAAAATGAGAAGCTGTCTTGTAAAACTAAAGTATGATACCCTTTGCTGAAACACAATTTATTTGCCTGGTTTTAAAAACAAAACAAAACAGAAGTCATGTTTATATAAACAATGAAGTGATTGAGTATTTAGCATCTAAATACCTATTTCTGTGCTGAAGTGCTGGTAAGTCTTCTCATCTGAAACTTTTCTGCTGCTGCATCAGACCCACGTTTTCATAGACTCTAGCATTATCTTCCCTCAGTCTGAGAAGAGAGAAAAGGGCATGTTGGCAGAAATGCAATGTAGACCATGCCATTTAAACTCTGCTTTCTCTATAAAGCAGACATGGTTCAGACATACTTCCCATCCCAAAGAACTGACGTTCTAGAAAGGGATATAAGGCATATGTTTACAGCAAAATACAATGATGAGGTTAAAAATGAAATCAGAGCCTTAGGACACTGTGCTCTTTGAGGTTTGAAGAAAAGAGAGTTCTTTTCTAGGTGGGCTGAGCAAGGGAACTTGTAGGACAAGGCATTGGAGCTAGAAGGTGAAGGATGTAAGGTATGCACGAATTGAAAGAGCTGGTATTAAATGTCAAGTCACACCATTTCCCACCGAGAGGAATTCCAATGCAAAGTGAGCCTACAAGACAAAGTAGAACTGCCCCCATAGATTTTCCAAGCTGTAAAACTTTACAGAAGCAGACTGCCACATCTTTCTCCCAAGTCGCTGCTGGTGGGTTCGAACTGTTGGCCTTTATGCTAGCAGCTGAGGCTTAACCACTGTGGCACCAGGGCTCCTTAGTGTCAAGTCAAGGAATCTCAATCGACAAAAGCTCCAAAAAGCCATACCACAGGTACAGTCAGTCAGCAGTGAGTATGTGTGTGCTAAGTTTCAACTCACGCATGAGGAAGGAGAACGGTTAACGTGAAGCTCAATGGTGGTCTGTGGCCAATGTATCAAAGAGCCCAGACTCCTTTGTGGCTGAGCAGGAGAAGGATGTCAGCAGTGGTAGGGGATGGTCAGGAGGCACCTGCGTTATTCTGGGCCTGCATTCTCCATAGGAGACAGTGGGAATGATGAAGCAGAATGGCGGCTGGTCAGTCCTAAGATCTGACTCTGATGGCAAGGACTCGGAACCGAGACGTTCTGGTTCCATGATAAATTACTACAGAGAGCAATGTAAAATGTGAATTTTCCCAGTCAGCCCACTGGGAAAGAACAAATCAGGTATGTTGAAGGAGAGAATACTTTGGGTATACAATGTCATTTCAGTGTTAAATGGGAAGCAAATGTAAACACAAGCCTCATATATGCTATTGAAAATGTTTATATAAAATATTAAAGTCAGCAGGGGTTTAAAGTCCACATCAGAAGTAAATAGATAGAAAATTCTCAGGGGAAGATGAAAAGTAAATGTTATGTTAGATTGTAACTTTAGAATATAGAGAAAAATAGTGTCTTACAACTGTTATTCCCCTCATCAATTCAACAAACATTTTCCTAGCACATGTTTTCCTTTAAACAAGGAGTCATCTGAAAGTTCTTCTGTGAAGGACCAGATACTAAACATGCCCAGATCTTCAGGGCATACAGAGTTCTGTCAAATAGTCTCCTTCTTTGCTCTTGTTTTGACAACCTTTTCAAAGTCATTCTTAGCTCATGAATCACAAAAAAACAGGCCCTGGCTCGGATTTGGCCTGTGGCTGTCATTCGCTGACCTCTTGATTTAAAAGGCCAAAGTAGACTTCTGTTGACTACTGGAAAATTAGCAGAACTGGGTTGTGTTGACATGGTCAAGTTATTTATTTTATTTTACAAATAGTCTTAACAACTCTTTCAGTTTTCCATGAAGAGAAAAATTAAATGCGTCTCGGAGAATCACTTGACATACCAATTGTTTGTTGCTGTTGTCATTGGGTGCCATCGGGTCAATCTTTGACTCACAGTGACCCCATGTGACAGAGTAGAGCTGCCCCAGAGGGTTTTCTCACCTGTCACCTTTATGAGAGCAGATCACCAGGTATTTGTCCCACATAATCCTAGCTCATATAGCAATCAGTCTTCAATTGAGGTAAATTACAATTTAGCTTAGGTAGCAACATAATCCAGAGAAAATGCTGGTCAGAACACACTCACCGACAGATCGGACGACAGTAATAGGCACCAATGAAATGTATGTGCTGCAAAGACTGGCTTTGTTTTGTTTCGAGCCTGTCTACAGAACTACACTCAGGTTAAAAAAAAAAGAAAGAAAGAAAGAAAGAATTTCCTTCACCACTACTTACTCTGTACAGGATGGTGTTGGGGTACAAGGCGGGAGGGGACTCTGATCGCCACTGGTCTGGTCCGCTAGGGAATATTTAATATTTGTATATTCGTGCCCTTTCCTCTTGCTTTTCTGAAAGTTGAAGACCGCATATAAGGGCATGTGAGTTTATTTTATTAATGAATAAAGAAACAAAAAGACATTTCACCACACACACTGCCAGGCAGGCTGCTCAATGATTGGGGAATTCAGCCTCTCATGTGGGGGAGGAGTCACTTTGAACCATAGAATCCCAAGGCACAGAGTCAGGCATGAACAGTTCACTGCATGAAACCAAAGACACCAGTTTCCAAGCTTACAGAGAATTCACACTTTCTTCGCCACATTAGCATCTAATCATTTCATCATTCATTGGCAACACATTAACTGATTTCCAGGTAAATAGAAGGGAAAAGAGATCCAGAAAGAATTTCCTTTCAAGTAGAAACAGCACACAGATTCTGTGTTGAAATTATTGAATTACTTGAAAGGAATTCAGAATCTCTCAGATTCTGGCCCTCTTATCAGTAACATGAATACATTTAATCATATTTGTTGTTGTCATTGTGTGTGTGTGTTTCCTGAAAAATAGCCTAGCATTTTTTAAACTTAAGTTTTGGGCTATAATGATACTTGGGGGAAAAGTTGGCACTATCCCATGGGGATGTAATCTTATCTTCACCACCTCCTCCTAAATTCCCCTAGATACAACTAGGTCTGAATAGCTAATCCATCACATTATCATCCTGGTATAATACTGCATTCATTACATGACTGCTCAGAAAATGGCAAATATTGGAAGAATATCCATATCAAATATTAATGTACACATGGAGAACTTTCACTTCTGCTGGGCAAAGGGTAAACGGTACCATCACTTTGGTAAGCAATTCATTAGTACCACTAGTTAGTATCTAGTAAACGTGAAAAGGCAGATGTTCTACAACTCTGAATATCTACTTCTTGAGAAACTCTTGTATGTAAACCTTAAAGACCGGTAGAACATGTCCAATGGAAGAACAAATGAATATGACATATTATATCATGAAAGCATGCACAAAAGTCAAAACAGATTTCATAAAACAATGTTGGTTGAGGTGGGTTTATTTAAAAAAAAAGCAAATTGCATAACAAGGAAGTCATAAGAGGACATTTGGGTAACTATTTTCAATATAAAACAATGTTACGTATCGGTTACAAATAACTGTATTTGTACTTTGAAATATGAAAAGCCAATGACTGTCTAGGGGGACAGGAGATGTTGATGAGGGATGGTAGGGTGATGGGCATCAGAGGAAACCTCAGTTGGATTGGCTACACTTGATTCTTTTCTAAAAGAAAGAGTTGAAGGAAACGCAGCAAAACGAAATGGTCATACAAGAACAAGCAAGTTGCTAGCCCAGGAGACATCAAGGCAAGTGGTGGGGTCCCCTCAGAACAAACCCCCTTCCAAGACTAAGACTCAATGAGAATATACGAGCAGACATGCGCTCTGATTGGTGACAATGTTCGTCATCGATAAGGGGAAGTGAGGGGAAAACAGCAATGAAGCTGCGAGCTAAGCCCTACAACGTTCAATAGACTCCTCTGAACCCGGGGGAGACCTGGTTGGCCAAAAGTATGGCAAGACCTGGGGACTCTTGGGCCCAGAGTCAGTGACATAGCCACAGAGGACTAGAGTGGAGAGTGAAGTGTCCAGCTGATAAGAAGAGAGGGCTTATGCATAAGACACCCACACTTGGAGATAATACCCACTGGACCTGGCTTCAATGATTGGATGATCAGAGCTCAACTAGAAGAAGAAAGAAGAGGAAAAAAAGAGTCATCTGATAAAATTTGATGAACTTGACCTACACCTATGGATGCAGTAGCTCAAAAGAAGGAACAAATTTTTACAGCGAGGATCATTCTCACCCCCTCCATACACAGAGTAGACAGGGATGGGCAACTTGGACATTGGCTACCCAAAATGGGGGGGGGAGGGGGCTACAAAGGCAAGAAGTGACTGGCTTACAAGCTTTCAAGAGGGAGCCTAGATCCAGAGGGCATGGAGGAAGGTAGAATCTCCACTGAGTAGTATACAATCTGTCTGGGCAGAACTGATTAAAGGAGATGGGGATAGGTCTCTTGTGGTATAATAGTGAATAACTGTTATCAGCACTGACTGTGAGGGTTGGAAATGTAAAGGCAGACACTGTGTAGCAAAAGGAGGAGAGTGGTTGACTTTGCAGTCCAGGAGCGGAGGTCCCTGGGACCATCAAGGGAGGAAGAGCAGAGAACAGGACCCTACCCAGAGAAACAGTGATGCCAGAGATGGAGGTAGAGACAATGACGTGGAGAGATGGAGTGGCTGTGAACTCTAGACCTGAGAGGGGGAGGGGCTGTGTGCTGACGACCAGGAGGCAGGCTTGCAGGGTTATACCCTTTGGTTGGTTGATGATGCATGGAGGGAATTTTAACCATGGCAATGAAACGATATATGATAGGACCAATGTAAAACTAATGTTCTCCCATGTAAACTATCACATAATTCACAATAAAACATTTAAAACAAACAAACAAACAAAAAACCAACTTTGAAATAAAACAGAAAACTAAATGGTCAAATATGAGTTACTGGTGGTGGTGGTGTTGAAAAGGAGCCCAGGTGGCACAGTGGTTAAGTGCTTGGCTACCAACCGAAAGGTCAGTGGTTTGAAACCACCACCTGCTACATGGGATAAAGATATGGTTATGGTAACGTGCTTCTGTAAAGATTTACAACCTTGGAAACTCTAGAGGACTGTTCTACTGTGTCCTCTAAGGTTGCTAGGAGTTGGAATCAACTCAACAGCAACAGGTTTGGGGTGCTGTTTTTAGGTGCTTTCAGTTAGCAGCTGAGCACTTCATCACTGCTCTACCAGGGATCTGGTGGGTGATGGCACTTTTTTTTTTTTTTTTTTAAGTTTTTAATATGAAGTATTAAAATATAAAATAAATTTGGAAATAGATACAAATGATGAAAATAATGTCATTAAACTACACACGTGAAAATTATTGTTAAATAGTATTTTGTTGTTGTTGCTTTATATATACATATATATGTAAGAGTTCTGGGGTGACACTGTGGGATAATGCGCGGGACTGCAAAGTCAGGTAGAACCACAAGGTCAGTGGTTCAAGCTTACCAGCCACTCCTTGGAAACCCTATACAGGGTTGCTATGGAATAGAACTGACTCAACAGCACTTAACAACAAAAACATACATCATACACATATACTTTTATATATCTGTATGTACTGGCATTTAAAAACTGTACTTAGGGATGGGCAATTTAGACATTGGCTACCTAAAATGAGGGGGTGATAAAGGCATGACGTGACGGGCTTACAAGGTTTCAAGAGGGAGTTTAGTTTAAGAGTGTGTTGGGGAAGATAGAGTCCCCACTGAATAGTTTTCATCTTGTCTAGATGAGTCTGGTAAAAAGAGATGGGGATAAGATTTGTATGATTCAGTACAGAGTAATTGTTATCATGACTAATTAAGATTGTCACTATTGTAAAGGCAGAAGTTTTGTAACAAAAACGGGAGAGTAGTTAATCTTACAGTCCAGAAACAGAGGACCCTAGGACCATCAAGGGAGAAGAGCACAAGCCAGAGAAGCAGCGAAACCAGAGATGGAGGCAGAGATGGTGACATGGAGAGAGGGAGCAGCTGAGGACTCTAGATTCATGGAAAGAGAGGGATGAAGAGCTGGCGGCCAGGCGGCAGGCTTGCAGAATGTGCCCTTTGATGGTTTAAATTATTATATATGTGTAACCATGGCAATGAAACAATATACAATAGGATGAATGTAAAACTAATGTTCTCCCATGTAAACTATCACATAATTCACAAAAAATTTTTTTTAAAAATTGTTATCTATGCCTGAGTATTTTAAAAACAGAGCTAAAATGGAGAGAAATAATGTTAGCGGATGGTACATGGAAGGGCTTATAATCATTGTGATGAAACAAAGTATATGATTTGTTTAACGTAAAACTGATGATCTGCCCTGTACACAATTCACAATAAAAACTTACACACAAAAAAAAAACTATACTGAACTGTACAAGCATGCTACAAAAAGTTTCTTGAAAGATTTAATTTATCTTTTAGTTATATTTTCCATGAACTTTTTGAAGCCCTCTCATATTAAACCATACGATAACTCTACCACACTCCCCAAAGAAATAGCACATAAAAGAAATCCAAATCCATTAGTAAGGTTTCTTTTTCTTCCCTTTACTCAAAACCCACCAAAAACAACAGCTCATAAAAAGTGGCAACTCCCATTATCCATAAAATAAAGGAACATCCCACTACAGTCTGCAAACTATAAAGTGTCTTTTCCACAACACTGGAGAGCTGGGTAGGACTGAGGGAAGAAGCTGGAAGCTGACATGTGACCACCCCGATTTCAAACAGGTAACAAACTCTCAGAAAGTCAAAGACTATGAGCTTCTGATAAAGTGATGAGACCCAGGGATGGACAGCAGCGGCATCTTTCAAACATCCATAATAAAGGAAGAATCCTGGGTCTCTCAGCAGAAAGAGAGCAAAGTCACATAGTAGCAAGATAGTCAAACTAACTTTAAACTTTAATACTACCACCTAACTAAAAACAAAACAAAAAAAGACACGAGAAAGAGAAATAGTCTATGAAGTTTATACTCTGCTAGGGTATTCTTTAGATGTAAGATCAATGATCAGGTTTTCCAGGCACGTAAAAACTTAGAACATAATATTAAAAATAAAATAAAATAACACAAAAAACTCACTAGATGATAAAATATAACTAGTAGGGATAAATCAAAAGCAACATAAGTATTCATCCAAAAGATGAAATGCTTAGGAATAAATCTAACCAGAGAAACAAAAGACTGATACCAAAAAAAGCTACAACAAGAAACCACAAGAGACCTACAAAACTGGAATAATATAACAGGAGTGTAGATAAGAAGACTTAACAGTGTGAAAATGTCAACACTACCCAAAGCAATCTATAGATATAATGCAATCCCAGTCCACTTTCAACAACATACTTTAAAGAGATGGAAAAACAAATCACTAA